CATCTTAATTGACATCTTAATTGGTGGTTAATTTTGTATAACTACCAAATACACTTGTTTCCACAATTATAATTTTTTAAATAAAACCACGTACAATTTTAAAATGTAAAGATTTAGTAAAAGAAAAAAGTGTCATGAAACATAATATGTATACGATTCTTTTAGATTTAAGAATTCAATTTAATATTATATAAAAGTCATATGAACTTATTTTAATTTTAAAGTACATCTATAATGTAACTGAATAATTTAATCGCGGCCGAGTTTTCTATTAAATAAAGGTTTTTTTCAGCTATTCTTAACTTGTTGTTGAATTTCTTGGTACATTTATTTTAATTGTACAAACTTTTCCTTTTCTAATGTAAATAGTAAAACATTTTTTACCTTTTCGTATGCAGTTTTGCAGTGTAAAATATTTTAAATCGTAATATTGCAATATTGTATTGTCGCCATCATCCAGTCATTCTAGGATAACGTAAGTATATCAATAGGTACATAAACTTGTGCACCAACGCCGAGAGCAGGGAAAACAATATTGAAAGTTCTAATGTGTTGATCTCGCCAATATTATCTGACTCGCTATTATCTAATAACACGGTAATATCTGAGCTGAGTTTGGGGGTGCTCCCCCAAACTACCCGCTATCTATCTATTTTTTAGTAATTACAGAGTGAAGCATACATAATAAAAGTTATTTATCTTTTGTGTTATTACAATGTAACATCTAACAATCAAACTCAGTTTTATTTTCTAAGAATACAATTTTCATTATAGAATTTTCAAAATAAACACTGCACCTAGAACATTCAACAAAAACTATTTAAAAAATTATATAAAATAAAAATAAAAATTTAGTCCACGACCCTACCGTTGATGTTTTGACAATTCGCTGTTGAAAATTAAATTTAACATTTCGTTATTGAAATTGAGATGTTGAAAAATTGAATTGAATTTGGATTTGATGGATTGTTCTGGGTAAGCTTAAAATTTATATTTTATTTTAAGTTTAACAAAATAAATAAATTGTTCATTCTTAAAAAAAACATTTTCTAAAATGAATGGAAGCCATTAAGAAAAAAATTAATTTCTACACTTTTAAGGAATTCATTAAATTAGGAAATTTAAAAGAGATGGAAAAGTATTCGGTTGATAATTTCTGTATTAATAAATCACAATTACGACCTCAGTTATGTGTTAATATAGATAATAAATATCATTAAAGCTTACCAAAGCTTTTTTTAAAATATTTTACTGATAACGAGTGTAGAACAATTAATGAATGATAAAATAAAATTACTATGTCCTGGAAAGATTTGATTTTCTTAACAATGGAAAAAAATTACAATTAATTGAGTTTGAATAAATATAGCATGTTGGTTTTTAATAGTTTATTTTAAATTAAAAATATTATTTAAATTTTTTTTTTTTTATTTTAATTATAACACATACAATCTGTAAATACACTTTTTACGATAAGCATGTTTGAGGAATTATATAAGAAAAAAAAAAATATTAAAAATAAAAAAGGCGAGATTGACATGAAGAATTAATCACCCAGCGGCAACACTTACTGGCTATAGAGGGCTATTACAGGTCACGGTTCCAATTACGCTTTAACCTACTAGGTGGATTACCTGGAATGGAATTGGAGTTTAGGGCACGGATTAATGGATTAGAGTGGTTTGTAAGATGCGCGCGGAAAAGTCTATAGGCATTTTTGGCTTCTTCATGGATGGTTAAAATTTTTAAGTCTAAGTGTAAAGTGTGGTTTGAAACGTACGGAGGAGCGCCTGTAATCATTTGCAGTGAGGTCGATTGGAATGCCTGAATTTTGTAAGTATTAGACTTTTTTGCTGCACCCCACAATTGGATACCGTATAACCAAATTGGCTTGAGAAGGGTTTTGTACAGTAGCAGTTTAGTTTTTAGGTCAGTTTTTGCTTGTCTTCCTATAAGTAGGAAGAGCGCTCTTCGTCTGGCATTTAGCAAGAGACGTTTCTGCTTAATATGTAAGGCCCAGGTAAGTCGTTTATCGAGAGTGAGACCCAAATATTTAACATTAGAGGAGGAAGGAATAACTTTATTGTTTAAATAAACTGGAGGTACTGTGGATTGTTTGAGAGTGAAGGTGATGTGGGATGATTTGCCATTGTTTATTTTAATTCTCCAATTGGAATACCAATCAGAGAGTAGGTTTAGATGGTTCTGCAAATATTGGCTGGCAAGAAATGGGTTTTTTTCGGAAATATATATAACTTTATCATCAGCGAAGTCGGCTACAGAAGTTTGAGAAGTGGTTGGTTGATCCGATGTGTATATGTTAAACAATATGGGAGAAGAGATGGCGCCTTGAGGAACACCAGCAAGGATTGGGGCCAAATTTGAGATTTCAGAGCCAACTTTAACGGCAAAGAATCTGTCCTCGAGATATGACTTAAAAAATAAANATTGAGTCAGTAAGGCGGTGTACCTGATGGATAGTGGAATGTTTGTCTTGGAAGCCAAATTGCGTGCAGGGGATAATTTTTTTGTCGTTAATTATATTGGATATTCGTTTTAGGATCATTTTTTCACACAGTTTTGCAAAGAAAGGAAGTAAGCTTATTGGACGATAAGATGATGGAGTATCGGGAGGTTTGCCAGGCTTGGGAATTAGGATTATAAGGGATACTTTCCATTGAATGGGCAAGTACGAAAGCCTCAAGATAGAGTTTAAGATGTGGGTTAGGTGAATTAATGCCATCTTTGGCAGTTGTCGAGCTACCTCAGCTGTGATGAGGTCTATACCGGGTGACTTTTTCAGTGGAAACGTATTTATAAAACGAAGAACCGCACCTGGTGAAAAAGGTTTGGGGGCGAGATAAAGTGGCAGGGCTGAATTAAGAGAGTTTTCAATTGTTTCCGAGAAGGTGACGTTAGAAGTTGGTTGGTGAGGCTTAAAAACTTCCGAAAGGTGAGAACAGAAAAGTTCAGCTTTCTCTTTATCTGATTTGCACCAAGTACCATCGGATTTTTTTAAGGAAGTTGGGGCGGACTTTTGTTTTAAACAATTACGTGTTGCTCTCAAGAGCGAGTTGTCCCTGGTCGTTAGGGATGCAATCCAGTTATTAAAGGATTCGTTCCTTAGATGTTGCAGGATACGTTTAAGTGACCAGGTTAGCTTATTATAAATACTTTTGTCAGATGGGAGTCTTGTTCGTTGCCAACGGACTCTGACTCTCCTCTTTTGGGTTATTAGTTCGCGGACATATGCAGGAATCAACAACTGGTTAGAGCTATAATTTTTCTTCCGGTGGACGGTAGAGTTCCACGCAGCTGACTGGATGATTTCAGTAAAATCAAGAACAGCATCATCGATATCACTTGGACATTTCAGACTTATATTTAATTTTATTCTTTGATTAATTATATCACGTGTGTTAGTTTTTCTTTAGATCAGAATAGTCCAACACTTAATTCAGGATTATAGTCAAGATTTAATTGAGGCGGTGCTATATTTGTAGCTGATAGGAATTTATTTAATCTATGTTTAGGTTCTTTAAAGATATTCAACATCCAGTTTTCAAGTAGGAATTAAGATCAATTTTAATAGAGCAAAATATGATGGTGTATTGTGTGGATTTCTACAACCCCAGTAGTATTAGCTGTTGGAAATGTTATTATTGAGGATTTTAAGATTACGATGTTACCTGTGGAATATCAAGAAATGTATAATTTTAAATTAATAAATGAATTAACAAAATTATTTCATAGAAATAACGACATAGTAAATTTTAAATCTTTGCAATGTACGGATGAAATCAATTTAAGTGGTGAAACATTCATGAGAAATATTGCAAGTACATATAGAAACCTTTTTTAATCTATTATTTCCAAATAGTAGCTTTCCAAGCAAATGGACTAGATATACAATGAAAAAAAGGTTCTACTTTTGTTCACTGTATTTTTAAAGAATATTTTGCTAGAGATTGATGAACCGAGATATCCACAAGAATCATTAAATTTAGAGTGGAAAAGTGAAAAATGTTCGCTTGTTTATGATATGTATATGTCATATAAGAAAACTTTCAATAAAACACATCAAGAACTACCACTGATGTATCTTTCTCATAATGATCTTTAATATTCAAGACCAATGAATGTATTAAATCTTACTAGACAACCTGATAATGTTATTGGAAATAGAAATAATATTTTTTTTGACGTAGAATTTAACGAGGATGTACCAAGTGGTACAATTTGCCATATATGTATAGTTTCAATTTCTAAATATATAAATGGTATTGTTCAAATACAACTAGAAAAAACATCTAAAATTATAAAAATATTCTATTAAGAAAGAAAAATGAATTTATTATATTAATAAATATAGACAAGGAATTTTTAGAATAAATACACTGTCATAAATGTAATAAGAAAACTAAAAATTTTTACCAATCAAGGTTCAAACAACAAATGGGCTTTCGAGAATTTCAAAAAAATGTTTAATATGTAATGCAAACAAAAGTAAATTATTAAAACTCCCGTAGAGAAAAAAATAGAAAACAAAATGAAATTTGAAAATATAGGAGAACAAGATAAACTATATATTGCAAAAGAGCTTCGTAAACCTTTAAAATTTCGACTTTCAAAAAGGGGAAAAAAACACATGGTATTAGTGGGCCGTAGATTTAGTTATAATGAGAAATTATGGTGATGGAAATTCAGGTTATTTGTATATGTTGAATTTTATAGATACTTTTTCAAAATTTGATTTGGCTGAATCTCTTAAAAAACAAGATGGAAAATATGTTACTAAAGGTTTTGAAGAAATAATAAAAAGAGCTACATTACAGAAATACAATTTACCTCATACTGATAAAGGAATAGAATTTGTAAATTTACAGTTTAAGGAAATGTTAGCAAAATACAATATCAAATTATATCATACACAAAACGATGAGTAATTTGTAATTGTTGAACGTTTCAATAGAACTTTAAACAATAAAATGAGAATACCGTTTGAAGTTCAAAAAAATAAACGATGGGTTGATATTTTACAAGGTTTATTGAACGAATATAGTTTCAAGGATATTCATCGAACAATTGGAATGATACCATTTGAAGTAAACAAATCAAACGGAGAAAAAGTTTTAATTAAATTTAAGATTAATGATAGCGTTGAAATAAAGAATTTGATAAAAACGTTTGATAACAAATATAAAAATAATCTCTCTAAGTACTTTCTTATACCTATTTTCTTTAACAAAAATTGCCATCGTTATATATTGGAGCAAAATTTTTATTAAAAAAGGTGTTCACAGGAAAAAAAAGGCCGTTATATATTTTAACTAATACATAAATTTCTTATATTTTCCCGTTTTCCTTCGTTTTTTCGGTTTTTCAAATTTGATGAGAAAACTCCTGAGAATATCAATAACTGATCTCTTTAAAGTNCCTCCTCACACTGATTTTCTTTCCGAAAAGTGTTACACTTAAAATTCGGAGCAAGATTTCTGGCAGAAAAGTTACGCACAGTCGCACATATAATGTAAAATAAAATGTAATGTTATTAACTGTCTTTACATAATTATTTAATATTATTTTATTATTTTTGAAACAAATAATATATAATAAATAATTCTAATGCTGTTACTCGCACGTATAGGGATTTGTTCTCTTGACACGACTATCGGCTATTAACTGTATAAAATCGTCCTCTACATACTGGTTTTTTGTCAGTTTTTCACTTTTATTCTTTCCAATTACTATATCCCTGAAAAAATGCCAAAAATGCCCAAAAGGAAATCCAATATTGGCCGCTCAACGCGAGAGGCAAAATATTAGGATGCCATAGAGAAAGTGAAACGATTAGCAAGCGACAATTAGCAACGCGCGTGTACCGTATTATGTACACGCGCGCTTTCCCGCTGACGAGTGTCCCCACTTCCTGGTAGGTCAGGTTAAGCTTCACTTACGTTGAGCAGTTCAGCAGAATTGGTTTTGTAATTTGATCTATTTTTTTGTTTGGTTCTAGCACGTGGAATTTCAATTTCTGCGCCAATTTTTTCTGTCATATTTAAGGAGCTTTTAAAAGAACATTGAAAACGATATCTGATCGCTCTCTATTATTATTAAATATAGTCAATAAATCTTGAATATGATTTGAACCGAGTATAAATCCATAGATTTTGCATGCAGTTAATTTTTAACTGGTTTTATGTGAGCTGAATATTTGGATATGTTATTTAAGGATATAATAAATTGTGAAGTTGATTTCTCATATGATATTTGGTAAGATTTTGTGCGAGTAGTGGTGTTAACTTTGAATTATTTTTATGATCAGATGCTTTTCTAGAACTGACTTAATGTTGATAAAGTTTACGGGAAAAATGCGAATAAATTTATATTTTGGAGACCAGTGATTATCACAAAAAAGTGGTATATTTGTAACCAGTTTTCGACGAAATAAACTTTCACGGGAAAAATTAATAAGCTCTTTAATAACTCCTATAGTATTTTGTATTTCTTTCACAACATTCAAATAATTTTCAACCAGATCAAGTCTATGCAAAGCACAAAAAAAAAAAAATGTTGCTTTAGAATATTTGTTACAAATTACTTTTTGAACTCTATTTTCCTTTCCAGTCATTACTGAACACCCGTCAAAAACCAAGCCAACAAGTTTATTTATGTCCAAACTGTATTTTTCAACAAAAGTCAAAACAGAAATAGCTATACCATCTGCATATAATGTTTATAGTGCACTAAATCCTATGAATTATTCTCTTATAACCTTTGAACTATCAACATAACGAAACATAATCGAATGTTGTTCAATGCCAACAATATTAAATGCAACATTAAATTAAATGCATTAAATGTTATTTCATAAAATATTTGTAGTATCTATGTGATGTTTATAGGTTTACCACAAATTATTTGTGATAAATAATCTCAGGTAAAATAGGTAACTAATACGAGCTACGGACTATGACCTATCTATGTTGTTAATATATGATAGCAATCACGTATTTGTATATTTATTTTATATTAAAAGTAGTTTCCAAAAAAAAAAAAAAAGTTGTCTTAGTAATTAAGTAATATCATGGTAATATTTATTGAACTTCAAGTTTATATAATAAATTCAACCCAGGTAAGGCGAGTGCCCTATATTGCTTCCTAATGGGCACCCATGATTAAATTTCCCTCTATATCCTACTTTCCCAACTTCTTATCTAAAACAGTGGCCCACCTATCATACGAAGTATGACCGTGTTTTTTCGTTTTACACATATATATTAAAAAATAATTAATATAATTTCTGCTATAGGCGTGATCCTATGGGGCCCCTTTTTTAAGAATAAATCTCAAGGCCCCCGGCGATTACCGGTTATACAGGTGATGCAGACCATCACAGCTACGATATGCCCATATTATTAAATAGACGTCCTAGGATTCCTAAATCCGTATCTTTTAAGATACAACGTGAATAATTTATAACCTCCTCACTAACCAAAAAAAAATCACACATATTTATAAAACAATAATAACTTCTGCGCTTTACTCAGGATCTAAAAATTGACTAACGTTTTGTTTCATTATTATTCACTAGAATCGTGTCTACGGTTATTCTATAATGTAATAATGCATTATTATATACCAATTGGATAGGGCCATGCTTATATTTTATTGAAAACGGTTAAAAGTGGGTTTGCACGCAGTCGGTTGGCTTTCATTATATTGTACAAATGAAATTTTAATCCAATATGATTCTCGGCTAGCAGAGGCTTTAGAACGTTTTAACGTCATCACGTGTCTACGTTAATAATATATCAGCTTACGCCATGGACCGGAGGCGGTATTTGCGAAAGTGTCAAAAACGAGATTATATTTTAATAAGATTTTATTTTGATCGCAACAGGCAAACGAAATATAATGAAAACCAGATTTTAAAATTTTTCATAACACCAATTGGATTTGTAATACGTCATTTTCAATTTTGTTGTATATATTTCACTGATTTTACACAGAGGCATCTTATGGACAGTGCGAGGTATACATTTTTACGTTTAAAATCTAATATTTTAGAGTAATTTGGCCCACGCCTGCACGCAAATTGCTAAAATTACGGATAGTGGAATGCGCATTACTGATCTATACACTATTTTATTTTTTAATTAATATTTTAATTTTATTTTGATTCAAAAAAGATAAATAAATAATGTGAAGGGAAAAAATCCATAAAGTATTTAAGTGCTGAAGAAGATGACACCGAATATTCTTATAATGAGGGATTGAGGTTGATGCTTTTCTATTGTGTAATACAATAATTTATTATATTTTCAGAGGAACGATATTATATAAGTAATTTTTGTATTTTTGTATTTTTTTTTTTTTAAATTTTGAGGGTTGATTATCGAAAGTACATAATTATTAAAAAAAGAGTACAATCTAAGGAAGGGCGAACCGTCAAATAGATTTCAAGGGAGAAACGAACTCTTTGTCGAGAACTCGTACTTGCGATCGTTATCGTAATCGGCGTAATTGTGTATGTGCGATCATGGATGTCGGAT